TCCAGCAACTTGAGAAATGTTTTTCCTTGTATATATATATATATATATATATATATATATATATATATATATATATATATATATATATATAAAATATTTCTCCGACAACTTGAGATAAGTTTATCTCCGGCCACTCCAAAACGACGTTGTTTTGTTTTTTTATTTCCTTATATTAATTGATTCACCTTTGAATGATTATAATTCTCTTTTTCTCTCTTCCTTTCTCACCATTGATCCATCTTTGTATGGTTATGATTTAGTAGTCGGAGATAAAGTTATCTCCGGCAGCTTGAGAAATGATAACCCCTATATATATATATATATATATATATATATATATATATATATATATATATATATATATATATGAGAGGAAGGATATTGTGACAACCAAGTTGTGTTACTACCAATCAATCTTACCGTTAGATCGATTATGTTGATCCAACGGTTATATTTATTTCCATCTTTGTATGGTCATGATTCTCCATATTTAATACTTTATATTTATTTTCACCTTTGTATGGTTATGATTTCCCATATTTAATGCTTTCACTTTAAATATGGGGAATCATGACCATACAAAGATGGAAATAAATATAACCGTTGGATCAACATAATCGATCTAACGGTGAGATTGATTGGTAGTCACTTGGTAGTAACACAACTTGGTTGTCACAATATCCTTTCCCTATATAAAAATAAGAAAAGGATATGTTTACAAATTTTTTTTACAAATTACAACTGGTCATACACTCTTGATTGAAATATGACTGATCATACTTAGTGTAATTTATAAGAACTTATAAAAAAAATTATAAATATAACTTTTTATATATATATTTCTTCTGCTGACCGATCAAAATTCGCATTGTTGCTTATTTTTTTTGACAGGTAAGTCCCACACAATGAGCCCAAAACGATGTTGTTTTGAGGTAGAAATCAAGGTATTTTAGTAATTATAATTTATTCCAAGATTATAACAGTTTTTATCATTATATTTTTTTAATCATTTAACCCTAAACAACGTTGTTTTGGGAGAAAATGTAGATAACTTATCTACATTCACTGTAAAAATATATTATAAATATATATGAGGCAGGATCCTTTGACACCTGTGTCAAATTTCAAATTTGACACCTCATCTGAGAGCCGTTAGATAAAAAAATATCAATGGTGTCACATGCTTACAAATCAGAGTCTTTGATCCTTTTTGATCTAATGGTTCTTAGATGAGGTGTCAAAGGATCCTACCTATATATATATATATATATATATATATATATATATATATATATATATATATATATATATATGATGTTAGATCATTTTACACAAGTATAAATTTATATTCTCAATTTCGACCCCGTTGATCTCACTTATATTTAATGACTTTAATTTTGTAATTATGTAAGTCATTGGATATAAATAGATCGATGTCCATAAATGAATATAAAATTTCTTATTATTACACTAATATAAGTAATCTACCCCATCTATATATATTATTGAAATTTGATAACACATCATATACAGTGGCGAAGCCACTTGGGTACCGACTGATTTTCAAAAAATGTTACATATTTTTTTTAAAAGATTATGGTATAGTCTTGGTATTGATTAAGTTTTTAAAAATAATACAGCATTGATACTAGCTGGATTTTACTAGTTGGGTCTTTTGGCATAAAGTTTTGGATTGTAGTGATTCTTTACATGGTACCAGAATTTTAGTGACCATAAGGTTGCGAGTTCGATCTATGCAGCTAGTATTAAGAAATGATGGGGGCATGTGTAGCACAAGGCAGACAAAAAGTGGGCTTGTGCCATATCTACGCTTCAAGTCCAAAGACTCTTGCGTGAGGGCAGTGTTAGAGATAAAAACATTAAAAAAATTTAATAAATTAAGATTTTGGGTTTGATTGTGATGTTCCGAACTCATTTAATGTTGCTGCTCACTTGACCCATGGTTGGCGGCTATCATGCACGGACACGAACATGAGACATGGGACACGACACAACACTTTGACACGTAAATTTTAAAAAATATCATAATCCGACACGTTAGGAAACGTTTTGATATTAAATAATATTTTTAATATATATAATATAGTTTATATTTAATAGATATAACAGTCCATAAAAAATCATATAATCAATCAAATAGGATTCTAAGTTTTTAATTTTTATTAAATGTTTTTCAGCACGCCGGGCCATTTTAATTGGATTGGTCATTCATTAATGTATATGAATATCAGAAGTTAGAATACCTAATTAAGGTGATATTTGTTCGTTTTGTTATTTTCACCATTTCCATTGTAAATCATTAAAAAAGTATGATAAAGCCAAAAAAAATAAGTAGCAAAACTCTTTATAATTAATATTAAAAGCATATAAACAAAAAATGAAAACAAAACAAGAAGCAGCCACAGCCACACATTTAGAATTTCTGTGACTCAGATCCAAAATATCTCGATTTCATTTACAAACTAAGCTAAGGAAAGATAAAATAAAACAGATGAAAAAATGAGAGGAAAAGTTAACATACTTCAGAGAGAGACATCAGAGAGAGAGGGACGAGTAAGAGAGACACCAGACCACTTACCTGAAGAAGCAATAAGAGGAGAAGCTCACAACGAAGATGAACAGAGACAGCCAAGCAGCAGACGAGTCGAGGAAGAAGCAAAAAGCAGCGAGCGACGAGATTGCAGCGGTAAAAGAGGGATATCAACGACGAGATTGCAGCGGTTAAAGAGGGATATCAACGTGAAGAAAGAGGGAAGTCACCATTTTGCTACGTTTGGACAAAAAATTATCAGACTGCCACAGTAAATTTTGTCAAAATGCCACGCGGCATAAACCAAAAATGCCACATCAAAATTTGACATCTAACATTTTTGGTTTTGATGTGGCATATTTCGTTACACTGTGTAGCAAATTACTTGCATGCATAATTCGTTACACTGTGTAGTGAATTATGCCGCGCGTGGTATTTTGGCAAAATTTACTGTTGGCGTGGCAGTCTAGTAATTTTTTTTTGGCGTGGCAGTCTAGTAATTTTTTTGTCCAAGCGTGGCACTTTGATCACTGTTCTAAGAAAGAGATAGAGTTCTAAGTTTTTAATTTTTATTACATGTTTTTTCACCTTTTTTTATAAAATTATAATTTTTTTATGAAAATGTCAAAACGTGTCCAAGAACGTTGACTAAGTGTCGGACTTAGTCAAAGTCGCGTGTCAGAATAGTTAACATGTCATAAAAAATTGACTGCGTGTCGGAACGTGTCGGAACGTGTCGGTGTCAGACACGTATTTTTTCAAAAAATTGTCGTGTCCGTGCATCAAAGGTTGGCGGTCTCTCCTACTATGAGCTCCCTATGCATGGCCCAATAATAAGCTGAGTCTTTTCCCTAACTCAGGCCACTGATCATATATCAATTAGTTCATGTAATAACACATTATTAAATGATAGTATAAGTCATTTTACACTCAGTTAGTTCATGTAATAACACATTATTAAATGATAGTATAAGTCACTTTACACAGATAGTGAATTCAAATTAAATCCATATGACAAATTTGAAGCAAAATAGATATGTAAATATCATTACCCACTTTAATAATTCCCATGCATTTATAATTCAGTAAGAATATTCATAAATAAGCATGATTAATATTGACGTTTATATAAATTGAAAATGAAAATGTAAATTGAAAATCTAATTAATATTGCATTTTTTCTTTTTGGCTAAAATATAGACTCTTTTTTATATTATCCATTAGTTTATCGATTATTTTTTATTAGTCCGATTTGAGTCAGGTAGGATCACATGAGCGACAAAATTTTTTTACCAAGTTTTGACATAGTTGCATTCTTAGGAAATCGAACTCGAAATCTCGGGTTAAATTAGAACAATCTCTTACCCAATAATTATAGCTCAATTGACAACACAAGCTGAGTAAATGGAGAGATAATTTAAGTTCGATTCATAGCAAATACATCTTTGGAGAGGGGGTGGAGAACTTTAACTATATCCAAGCTTCGGCTTGAGATTAGTTCAATAAACAATTCAAAAAGTTGAAACTTGTTAAAGAAAAAAAAAACCAAATATAGTCATAAGACTTGACGTGATAAAAGGATGCAAAAAAAAATGTGAGTTTTGGTTTTCTAACGTTGATTGAGAGGAGGAAGACAATGACAATAAATTATTTCCCTAATTTATTGGGGGTGTTTGGTATGAGTATTTTGTGTGGAATAATAGGAAAGTAGGTGGAGAATATTTTTTAGCCATGTTTGATATAACGAAACTTAAAAAAAACTAAGGAAAAAAGTTAGCAGTGATTCAAGTTTTGTACTAAATACAACTAAAAAATTATACCCCACAACACATGGTATTTTTTTTATCCTTGAAATCAGAATCTGGTTTGAATGATTTGAGATCAAAATGCCCCCTTGTAATATATCTGCAAATGTGTAAGTAGTCATCGCAGAGAAGCACGCTATGGAGAGAAAGCTTCATCGTCTTCGTTTGCGCATCTTCGCGTATCTGATTTGTGACTTGGTTTTGTCCGAAAAATGTTTATTCGTAAACTGGTAGATGTGTCCTTTGTCATTTATTAGGAATCCCACTACTGTGGGAGCATCGATCTTGGAGCTTCCGATTTAAGAAAAAGAGACTTTCGTACTTATTTTGAGGTACATAATCTTTGATTTGCTCCATTATTACTTTGTCTCTCAAGTTCTTTTCGTTTGGAATGATGTTAAAATAAAGAGTAAATTGATAATTTAAGTTAACATTCTTTCAATATTTTACGATCAATCAAACAATTTATCAGTAAAATTAACCAAATTTTTTCGATAAAATTTTAACATACCAAATAACTTTTCATTATTTTCTTGGGCTAAATAATTTTTAACTATATTCTCAGAATTTTTTTTTTTACAGATAAAGAAATATCTGTTGTACCAAACGCACGCTTGAAAGTTGCTGCATTCAGTCTCGTCAAAAATTAAAGTAACCCGAGATGATATTAATTTGTAATAGACTAGAAAACCGAACGGTTGAACCTTTATTACGTGGCCGAAATTACAAAGAAAAGATAGGCATCTCTCTCTCTCTCTCTCTTTCCTCCCCCCTATTTATTTAGAGTCTTCGAACCTAGCAGAATAGTAATCTATAATTTACCTTTGGAACCTAGCAGAATAGTAATCTATAATTCACCTTTGGAACCTAACTCCACCTCCACATCTTGAGCTCTATCTTGGAGGTCTATACTTCCCTTATAATGATATCTTTGAGCAACATATAGAAAATAAATCAAGTTCAGAACTCCCATCCCTGCTATGAGGTAGTAAAAGTAATCTAGCCTGCCAGCATTTATATCATTTGTCAACCAATCTGGATGGCTATGTGTTCTAGTTGTATGATGAACTATGGTGACTAGTATGGTGCTAACATAGCTAGCCCCAGCAAAAGAACATGAGAACAAGGCATTAGCAACGCTTCTCATATGCTCAGGAAATTGCACATTGAAGAACTCAATTTGTCCAATTATATTAAATGCCTCGCAAAGACCCATCAGGATTAATTGAGGGGCTAGCCACAGTATTGACATGGGAGCAATGCCCTCTGGGTTTGGATTCGTATTTGCTGAATCTCTTCTCACTTTTTCAACCATGGCAGCTGCAACCATGGACAAAATAGAGAACACCATGCCAATTCCAATTCTCTGGAGGAGAGTGATACCTCCTTCATGTTTAGTTATTCTTCTTAGTGCTGGTACCAACACTCTGTCATAGAATGGAACCCACAAACCTATGGTGATGAATGATATAATTCCAATTGAACCGGGTGGTATTTGAAATTTGGGTCCAAGGTGTCTATCCATCTTCTGTGCTTGTGATATGGTGAATGTTCCTTGTTGTGCCATGGAAGTGAGACCAATGATACCAGCAGCCCAGATAGGAAAAATTCTTGCTAAGCATTTAACCTCTTCTACTTGCTGAATGCTAGCAAGTTTCCACTGATTTACTCTGCTCCCATCTGGATTTAGCTCACCTTCCATTACTAGAGCTGCTTTATTCAAGACCCTAAACAATACAAATCAATATATGTAATTAGAACATGGGGTTAATATTTCTCCAATTTGTGGATGGGATTCTATGAAAAGGAGAGAGAGAAAAAAAAAAAATTAAAATTTACTCATTTTTATGTGAGTGCAGAAAGCAAAAAATTAAACTCTTAAAACTTTTATATACAATAGTCTTTCTAATTATTGGTCAATGATATAGGACAATGACATAAGAACCCATAGCGATAAATTAAACTCTTGCAAGATTGAATACTCCACAATGATAGAGATATCTTACCCGAATTGGTTGGTGAAAGGTAGTTTTGACAAAACAGCAGTCCCATACAATGGAGGATCATAAAAAATCCCATCTACCTGCTTCTCACTTGGAAGCTTAAGTTTTCGCTTTCTATAAGCAGCCACTAGAACTTGTGCAATACCAGAAAAAATGCTTCCTTCTGGCTTCACATATACGTAAACCTTTGTTCCTATGAAGAACATGATGATGGAACAAAGCATGCATACAGTTGGTATAGCAAAACCTATCTTCCAGCTAACAGAGTCTTGGATATAGACAATCAGTGTTTGAGTGAGCAACAACACCACAGTAAATGTAGTGTAGTACCAATTAAAGAAGCTCTTGATCCCTTTATTCCCTTCATCTGTAGTGCGATCAAATTGATCAACACCAAATGGTATACTACATGGCCTTATACCAGCAGAGCCTATGCTTAAAGAGATAAGTCCCATAAGCAAAGCACCCAGATGAGATGTGCTAGCTCTAACACATTGATTTAATATTCGTTGCTGTGTAGTACAAGATGGAGGGTGCAACTCTGGTAACCAAGCTGTTAAAGTCACCACGGTCATCCCCTGTCACAACAATTATTCATAAAAACACTTAAATATGTATTTATACATACATGTTTGAAAAAATGCAAGCATAAAGAAGTGAAAGGCAAAACAAGTGACTGAACAATAAAGCGAAAGACATAAAGGTACTGATGTCACGTTAGGAAACAGATCAGCGAAAAGATTTATGTGCAAACAAAAAAGGTGGATGCAGAAGTCAAACTTCCCCAGTTTAGAATTTATTGAAATTGATACTTTCACTCCATCTTTTCTATTAAATTAAGTTCAAATGGTCCAATTTAATTTCACTATTTGCGTGTCCATCATCTCTTCGGACCATAAAAGTATGAATATATGCTTGTGTTTAGATACTAGGGTGTATTGGATGATAATTGGGATATGAAGACCCAAAAAAAACACAAAACATGAATTACTAAGTTGCATAACACTTTTTTTTTTTTTTATATATATATTTGGTACAGAAGTTGCATAACACTTTAATTGTCTGTTTCTCTCTCTCTCTCTCTTTTTATTTATTTCTGCTCCGACTCTAGTAAATGCGCCGACGACAGATACACGCGCATGACACTTTTTAAAAATAAATTTATCTTTGAAGTATATAAAAAAAATCTGATACCGTTAAGTTAATTTAAAATATATTATAATCTTGACATACACCCATATTTATGTCAAATAGAAATAAAGTGACCATTTCATTTATTAAATTAAAATGCCAACCACCCTACATAATATCATAATAAAAGAGCAATAAAGTAAAACCAAACCATGAAACGAGGTTGAAAAATGGACACCCTCAATTAGATAATTAGAATCGATATAAAAATAAATATAAACACAACAACTCTAGCTGCAGGATTAACATAACTTTGTGAAGGAGTTTTTTTTTTTTAAAAAAAAATTAATTGTTTTTTTAACTGAAATAAACATGCACTATTGCACTTGGTTCTCCACAGCTAGAGACTCAGAAGTTACAACTAAGGAACTCAAAATAATCAAGCTAGTTCACTCTATTCTAACAAAGGTTTAAATAAATTTAGAGGGGAGAAATCTATACCAGTAGAGAAAAAAAGGAAGCAACAGCTATAGTCCGGAACCGTCCCACATAGGCATCAGAAATGAAGGCACCAATCAAGGGGAAAAAGTTGGTAATACCAGACCATATGTTGAGAATGTTTGAAGCATAAACTTGGTCCAAATGAAACTCTCTTGTCAAATACACCATAAAGTTTGCAAATAACCCAAATGCTGCCAACCTCTCAAACGTTTCATTTCCTGTAACATTAGCTCGAAGCAAAGTACGGGAATCAAATTATTTGTAATTGAGCTTTCTTTGTGAAAGAAAGACATAATTATGGAAGATAATAAAAATAGTGTTAGAATAAAGACAATATAAGACCTAAAATAAAAGGCATGGACTTCCATCCTCCAGGCTTCTTATTAGCTGATTCTGAACAGTTTTTGCTTAGCTTTTCATTGGTTGGTTCCTTTTCTACTGTTGAGCTTGAAGAAAAGCCACTTTTGCAGCATGGAAGTGACCAAGAAGATAACCAAACAGAAGAAAAGCCAGAGAGCTTTTTCTTCTTATTCTCTGCAGCCAACATTTTCTTCCAAACTCTTTTTTTTTTTGTCTCCCCAGGTAGTTAACCTATAATGAAACGAATATGTATTAGGCGTTGATGAGTTTGAGCTAAGGCCACAAGACACTTATTTATAGTTATACAACACACATTAATGATTGAAGGACAGAGGATTGATTATTGGACACTGTACGTAGCATCGTATTTAATGAGTAGAATACATCCAAACAAAGACAGACTTTGGACGTACGTGTTCTACGTACGTTCAGCCTACTAACTCTGACTCATGCACGAGCACCATGTACAGGGATTGCGTGCTGCGTTTGCCATCTTCAGTGGAAGCGTGGGGACCATGAAACAATTTTCAATCCCTTCCTTAATCCGATGGCACTATCTTTAACAATCACTTTTTGCATGTTTAGATTATATAGTTTGCAGATTGGGTGTGCACATCAAAAAAAGTTTTCTTTTTAATTTTTGTTTAGATTATTTAAGAAAGGCTTGGCCAACTATATTATGAAAAAAAAAAGAGAATAATGTTGTAGGAAAGTTATTAAGTTATATTATAGAGATAAGAATTGTAGGACTCACATTTGTTTTCAAAAAACAAAACAAGTGTGGGTCTCATAATTCTTGTCTTTTTATTTTTTATTGGAAATAATAGGAAATTAAAACAAAAACACAACAAAAAGAAACTAGGCACAAAATCTAGACCAGTAAACACTTATAGTGTCACGATATTATCTAATAATATAATTAATTTCTTATATGGTTTGATAGATTTTTATTGCAATTTTATTTTAATAAGTTCATCAATATTTAAATTGAAATCCTGGATTTTGTTAATTAATTATCCAACTAATCTAATTTGAGTTGTGCATATTTCCATGGTCCATATATCTCTCAATCAATTTTTTAACACAACTGCATATCCAAATTAAACTTCTATTTAATACCACTTTTTTTCTTTTTAAATTTGATAGTCATTCTCTCTCTTTCTTTCTAATTTAAAAATTCAACCAGTGAGTTTGGGCTTTTGCCCTTTTCTTGTACTAAAAATAAAAAAAATTCAGCCAGTGTTTCTTGGATTTGATTGCTTTCATGTATCTCATATATGTATATGAAACTCAGTGAATGCAAAAATTTCTCCCCTTCTTTATTTGATGCATTATGTATTTTGTTGAGAGGTGAAACAAGAAATTCTTCAAAAAGTTACTTGGGAACATTTTTAAATGAAAGAATATTTTTAAAAATTCAAAATATTTTGCAATATATACTTTTATAAATAGTATGAACTAGCATAATTCAATAATACAAGTATAAAAATTTAAATTGTTGTGAATAAGTTTATGTCAATTAAATAATCTCTAGATATAGACAAAATGTATAAGTAGCGTACATACTGTTGATTTTATATGAATTTATGCATAAAAGTGTGAATATATAGTTTAGAAAAGTTGTGGTTTTTTTAAATTTTTTTTTTTTTACATATATCTAGCTGGCACTATTTTTTTGGGGGGGGGGGGGGGGGGGGCGCAGGCAGCTGGCACTGTCTTGTTGTTGTATGTTTTAGAGATAATTTTTATATTAAAAATAACTGGAATTATATTTATAACTTTTTTTTCTTACAAGTTATAATATTCTACTATCAAATTTTAACTATTGATTTTCATTAATTTGACAATTATAATTTATTTAGAATTAATAATTAATTATTAAATGTGATTTAAAAAATTTAATCAGTATATTCATGAAAATCAACGGTTAAGATTAGTCGTAAGATGTTGTAAACATAACATCCCTCTAAAATAATACCAAAAATTAATTTCTTTAATTTCTACTGCAACAATAAACTAAAGATTTAGATTATATTAGTATAAAAATTTAAAAATTTTTATTTATACTTTTTAAATTTTACGTAAATGTTAACCGGTGTCCGAAATTTTTATGGATCCGATTATTATAATTTTGATTTTATCCTTTCCACCCTTTGTGAGAATTGCGGTTGTCATGATTGCAACCTATAAGATATTTATACAATATACGGGGTTCTTTCTAGTTATAGAATTTGAAAGGCAATAGAAAATTACATATGATACTTGTGGAACATAGTGACCACATAATTATTCTCCACGAAATAAACATTAATAGGAAGAAAGTGCCAAAGATAGAAATATTTAATTTAACTTGCGTGCCTTTTGTAAGAACACTTATATAGCATTAAGAATGCCTACATTTCACATGTGATACAAGGAAAAATGTGTGTGGGTCTCAAATTTGATTTGATTTACAGTGTTTCGGGGTTTTAATTTTAACCTAACATTCCTCCTTATTTACTCACTTCAGAGATAAATCCATATTAAGAGAATATTATCTGCAGTTAAATATATTATATTTAATCCAAATCTTACTTTCTCCAATTATTTTACTGTCTAATACAACCCACCTTTGAGACGGCTAGGGCGAAACATACCCAATTAAGAAAGGATATGGATTTGTATAGGCTAAATTAACAAGAAAAACTTAAATAGTATTATTATTATTTAATACAAAATCATCCTGATCTCATAATTTGGAATGAAAGTGGGAATGTCTGTGCGAAGTCTTAAACAAGGTCTACGATCTTTTCTTACATCTTAATCTTATATTCAATTATAATCGTCGATTGTTATAAAAGTTTATAGAAATCAATGATTAAGATTGAATATAAGGTTTATTATTATTACGTAAGTTGATCTGTCGCTTAAACAAATACATGTACAAATTCGTGGTAATTCGACCATTGAGATTCTTGCTAGTCAACGTTATCAATTATCATCAGTATACCACGATGAGACATTTCTACATATGATCACTATAAAACATCGTAACCAATCACTATGATTCAATGTTCAGAAAATAGTTGATTTAACCCTATCACTTATCGCTAAGAACTTAATTCTATCTTGGATAATTGGAATATAAATATTATCCAACCCCATTTTGGAACTGACTCTTTAATTATCATCCACGACTTTAGAGCAAGACAAAGGTGTTTCACACTGAGTGGATATAAATCAAAAAAAATAATTTCTGACAAAATATGGGATCAATTTCAAGTAATCATTTTAGACGTCAATTTCAATTAAAAAGGAACTAAAAGGATAGGGCTGTTTAAGTGTTTTATACATAGTTATCAAATCTGGATCGGTCGGCTAATCCAATAGGAAATTGGACTCTCAACCGATCCGGTTTGTTAATTGGATTGATTGTACGTTCAAACTGATGAGAATTAATTAAACCGCCAATAATTTCGGGTTCAACCGGTGCCGGTTTTTGACTCAAACCGGTTTTGTAATTTTTTGCAAAATAAATTACAAGAGTTGCTTGAAGCTATGAGGGCTCAATCCCTTGTCCCATGGTGTGACAACATTAGCTTTACTGCTAATTAAGCCAATGTACGTATCTCATTATATATAATACTCATATTAAAATTACCAAAAAAAAAAAAATACTCATATTAATTGTTATGTTTGTTAAATACTTTTATATAAATTTAATTTTACTAGTTTAACCAATGGGTCATAGTTCAATCCATTAATCTAATATCCCAACCAAGTCAATGACTAGTCCAAGTTTAATATGATTGATTTCAAACATAAGGGATTTTTTGATCCATTTGACGTTGAAATAAAAACTTCTTATCATATTAATTCAAAGTCCAAATATTTTATTAAAAAATATAATGAGATATGTATGGGGTATGTGCACATTCAAATTGCTTATGAAAGAAGTTCATAATTTGTACAAAAACAAATGTGCATCTACCCCGTTCCGCGCGGCTAATTTTTTTGAAAGTCCGAGCACATACTCCCTAAATCCCAATGTTGCAACAGGAAAGAAGTCAAGCATTTGTGGTAACAATATTTGTGAGGCCCACATATTAAATTTTGTACTCCACAGTTAAATGGAAATTAATCTTATGGGCGATTCAAATGGAAAGCGCTTATTCAATGTACTTACAAATTTGGCGTGATGTATGAATTATTGCGAAGAACTACACATAGCTAAGAAAAATCATCTGTCACACACTATAACTTTTGAAATCTAAACAAAAAAAATAGAGTTCATTTTAAAATTTAGACTATGTACTCTTAAGAGTACATAATATGTGGCAGATACATTTTTTTCGGCAACTGCAAGAACGTTTTTCCCATAAAATAATTTCACATTTTGTGATTATATTATGTATCACTTAATTTTTTGTTTTAAATTGATTGTAATTTATGATCATAAATTATATCACTTGACTCCTTAAATATAAAAAATATATTTATATAAAAAATATCACAAATATTCTTAATAAATAAAATATTAAATTATACATGAAATGTTTTAAAGCATCCCAAACTAAAACAAAATCCTATAATATACATTTCATGTTATTTTAACAAATTATTAAATTTAAATCATTTTTACCAATGAAAAAATAATAATAATAACAAAATGAGTAAAACCCCTTTTGGATCCTTAACAAAAAATACAGTCTTCATTTTTTTCTCTTACCAAAAAAAAATTAGTCCCGAGATTCTTAAGAAATTCAAAGTGGACCCATTTAGTTGAAATCGTGGTCCCTCATAAATTCAAAAAAAATCCATATTAGTCTCTTGAAAAGACTAAAATAAGTCCACTTTAAATGTCATAGAGACCACGAGATTATTATTATTATTTTGTAAAAGATTAAGACCATATTTTTTTGTTAGGAATGTAAAAAGATTTTATTCTGACAAAATCATTCGTGATTCATTAGCTAGAGTGAACTTGTACTTCTTATGGAAAGAAACTTGCATTCATAGGGGTCTATCTCGCATTTGCATGGTATATAGGGATATAAATTAACGACTCTGTTAGGTTAGATTTTGATCCAAATAGAATAAGTTCATATAAAATATTTTAGGTTTGACTTATAGGTATAGTTTGGTTTATATTTTAAAAATTTGACTTAGGCCTATTTACTTATTTGTGCCTCCAACGTCTTCAAGAAAGATATATTAAGAATTAGAAAAAATAATTTTTTTTTTGAAAGAAAAAAAATAAAAATAAAATAAATAATATTATTTCAGTATTTAAAATTATTTAAATAACAATTTTATTTTATTCAAAATAAAATATTATATATAAATTAACCTGTAAACTTTTAAGTTAGTCCTCGTAAAAGTAGACCTATATAATTGGATGTAAAAATTAATTTGACTTGTTTTTTGTTTTTTATTTTTGTAGGAGGAGGCAACATCACAGATTCACAATATATTAAATTGTTGATATGAGTATATTAAATTATTTATGGAGAATTTGTAGTCTTTTCTTATTTTGGATATGCAGAATTTTCAACTACTTTAGTTTATTAGTTAAGCATATTTTTTTGAATGATTTTATTCTATATCATGCTGTTTGGATATACATTAATTTATAAATCTTTATGAAATTATTAGTGCTATTGATCGTATATTCTGTTTGAATAAATTTTTATTGTCTTATTTCTTTTATAAGCTAGACTTTTATTTTTTGTAAACAAGTCAGACAACGAATCGATAATTATATTCATAACAGATTACAGGTTAGACTAGTCTAACACATTTAAACACAGACTTAACCTTTCAAGATCAAAGTCCCACTTTACTCCTTAACACCCCTATATACAAGAACTAACTCATCTACGGAACTACTAATTCTAATCTTGTACTTAGAGAACTTAACCAATTGCTAACCATCTAACCTGCTAATTCTAACTACTTACTACAACTAAATTATACTAACTAACTAATATTGGGTACGTAACATGGCACGTCCTATATTTCGAGAACCTGGCGTTCTAAAATGTTGGCTTATATAAATCAAAGAAACACAAATATTTAAAGAACTATTAGCCATTTTGAATTTCATATCTTAAGTCATACTGAGTTTCAAATCCTAGCTAACTACTCATACTAAATTCTCAGAATAATACCGGCTAAAAGACTTTATTAAAAAAAAAATGTGTGTGACTTTTCAAATTCACTATTTGACTGTTACTAAGTTGGAGTTCTTTTTTTAACCCAACCCAACCCAACCCACCAAACACCTGTAAAATAAGGTTGCATTTGACACATATATATTAAGGGATAATATAAACAGATTATTACAACAGAGAAATGGTTGAGTCACAAATTAATTTTTTGTCTTGTTAATTATTTTGATTACTAATGCACATGAATAAAAATTTAGTGATACTCATCGAAAGAATCAATTAAGAAAAATCCATTATAAACCCTTTGTGCTGAATATTGCTTTTACGTGCAATAAGCTAGCATTAACATGACTTTAAACCCTCTATCTTCGTTAATGTTGATTAGACCACATCTATTTAATTAATGCAAATAGAGAGATAGGTAAAAAATTTTCATATAATCATCATGAAATTTTAAAATGAGAGGATCAATTCCCTGAAAAAGTAGAGTTTATTGGTCTTTTTTTCTTTTTGTATTGTGAACGAGAATTTGGAAAATGATTTAGTGGGTACGTAATAAAAGTTTAAAGATTTGTGTTGTCCGTTGAGTTGTTTTTTGTCTCTTACTTTGTTATCCAAAGTCCAAACAATCAAATAAAGTCCAATTTTTTGTCTTGTCTCTTATATATTTTCATAGCAAATCAAACAGACCTAATTAATGCAATATGTAAGTATTATAAAATTAGTATTATATATCTAAATTATATATAATTGACTCCATCCCACGCAATTACTGGTGCAGTAAAATTTATGAGATCAAACTAAAATTGATGAAGAAACCAATAAAAAATTTCGAATCGATTAGGACTTCCAACACCGATTAATATTTATAAAGAAAAATCCGTCATCTCTAAGAGCAATGTTATTCTATGCATTAACTATAGATGAAAGCATACCACAAATTTCCAAACGATGTGATGAGCACTATTCCGAATTTTCTTGAAGAGGTAAATATCAGCAAGAAGCTAAGTCACCATCACCGGGAACCAATTGCTCACTCCAGATCATATACTGATCATAGCATTTGCAGCAGCAACTTGACAAACGAATACGTTCAACAAATGCACCACCATATTTGCTTTCATACGGTACGTCGTTATCCTCTCAATAGTCGAGTCAACTTTTGATAACAAATGGCATATCAATAATTGTATACATACAAATTGTGTCCAAACAGACATCTATTATATGTACTATGTGACCGACCTATAATGAGTGGGTAGAGAAAGCGTGACTCTGCAGGTAAAAGTTTAGCGTCGTGCTGAAGGTATATTATCAGAAACGCGGAAGCGCATCGTACCGATGCGATGAGGAATGAAGAACACCGCTTTGATTACCTGAGATGAAGCAGCGAGCGTGACAATTTCTCACGTTCTGTTCTCCTCCTCAAGCCTCACGATTTGCAGCAACGCACCACGAATGGTCGCAATGTTGGATCGCTCAAATACAAAACCAACAAAAAAAACAACTATTCAAGAATGTCGTGAAAACTTGTGGAGAAAGAGAACAAACTTCTGTGAAATATTTTACTAAACTTCGTTGCTTCTCAATTCTGTGTTTCTCAAACAATATACTAGACTATTTATAGGCTATAGTTTTCCTTTATAAAACTGCAACACTAAATAGCCATAAACCACAATTAAAGCCAAACTTAATAACAAAACATAATGACTGACTCTTAACTTTCAAAACTCCTAAATTAAATGCTAAACTTATGACTCATAAACTATCCATAACTAACAAATTTAAAACCATTAAAAATTAAATTGACTGCTTAATTAAACCCATTAAAAACTAAACTGACATTTAACGTTTTTCTTAACAAAACTCCCCCGTAAACTTAAATGCTTCTGCCATCTTTCATGCCAATCATTCTTTTGCAGTTTTCCAGTAGTAACGTCGGCAGTGGTTTTGTGAAAATATCTCCGACTTGGTCTTGACTTGCCACATGTAATAACTCCACATTTCCTTCCTTTACTTGATCCCGTATGAAGTGAAAATGAACGTCAATATGCTTGCTTCTTTCATGATTCACCGGGTTCTTGGCTAACTCTATAGCCGACTTGTTATCAATATGGATCTCGGTTGGGCCGACTTGTTTCTCCTCCAGCTTGCTTAGTAAGTTCTTGAGCCATACTGCGTGACAAACACACCAAGACGCAGCTACATATTCAGCTTCACAGGTCAACAAAGTCACAATGGGTTGTTTCTTCGAGATCCAAGTGAATGCCGTGTTGCCCATGAAGAATACATATCCCGACGTACTTTTCCGATCGTCTACATCTCCACACCAGTCACTATCAGTGTACCCAATTAACTTATAATTTTCGGACCTCGAGTAGTGAAGTCCCAATGAAGCTGTCCCTTGTATATACCTCAAGATTCTTTTTGCCGCCTTCCAGTGTGAATAACTTGGCTCCTCCATGAACCGACTTACAATCCCAACACTCAGTGAGAGATCCGGTCTTGTGCATGTCAGATAACGAAGACATCCTACCAAACTTCGGTAGTTGCTTGCGTCAACTCGATCTCCACCATCATACTTTGAGAGTTTTGAACCGGGTTCCATAGGGGTTGAAACCGGGTTGCAATCTGTCATCTTAAATCTTTTAAGAATCTCCTTTGCATATGCCTCCTGAGAGACAAAAATACCCAAGTTGTCTTGTCTGACTTCCAGACCAAGAAAATATATCTCATCAGACCGAGATCTATCATCTCAAACTCCCTTGTCATTGTTCTTTTGAGTTCTTGTATCATTCCATCTTTGTTCCCCATAAAGATGAGGTCATCCACATAAAGAGCCACAAACAAAACATCATCTCCAATTTTCTTTATATAAAGTGCATGTTCATAGGGGCACTGCTCAAAACGATTTTCCTTGAAATAAGTGTCAATACGAGTATTCCATGCCCGTGGTACCTGCTTCAACCCGTAAAGTGCCTTCTTCAACCTCAGCACTTTCTTCTCTTCTCCACCTTTCATGTATCCCGGTGGCTGTTCGAGATAGACTTCTTCTTCAAGTACTTCATTCAAGAATGCCGACTTGACATCCATTTGAAATATCTGCCACATATGTTGAGCTGCTTGTGAAATCAATAGCCGAATTATCTCCATCCTTGCGACGGGAGCAAATACCTCGTCATAATCAATTCCTGCCCTTTGCTTGTAACCCTTTGCAGCTAGCCGAGCTTTATATCGTTCTATCTCCCCTTGAGCATTCATTTTCTTCTTGAATACCCACTTTACCCCAATGGGCTGACTCCCTCCAGGTAGCTCGGCTAACTCCCACGTGTTATTTCGATCAATGGCTTCTATCTCCTCATCCATGGCGTCTTGCCATTTCTTATCTCGGATGGCTTCTTCAAAGCTTATATTTTCAGAATCTGCAAGAAGACAAACAAAATGTACCTCACTTGTTGACTCATATATGTCTTGTATGCTCCGCATCCTGGGTTGTCGTACCTCGTCTTCATCATCAGAAGCTTCAGGACTTGCCGGGTTGATAACTTGTGTTGAGATTCCGCCTTCAAAATTCACCTCGGGTGAATTGCTCCTGTCCCACTCATCTGCTTCATTGAATCTTACATCTCGGCTCACTACGACCTTCTTGTTGACAGGGTTAAACAACTTATACCCCTTTATTTTTTCATCATATCCCATAAAAACATATTTCCTGCTTTTGTCCTCGAGCTTAGTTCTGAGCTGGTCCGGTACGTGTGCAAAGGCCACACTACCGAATACTCTAAGATGAGCCACTGACGGCTTTTGACCGCTCCAAGCTTCCTGTGGTGTTTTGTCCTCTAAACTCGAATGTGGACATCGATTCTGCACATACACAGCACACTGCACAGCTTCCGCCCAAAACTCCTTCGGCATTTTCTTGTTCCTCAACATTGACCGAACCATGTCAAGAACAGTTCGGTTCTTCCTTTCAGCAACGCCGTTTTGTTGTGGTGAGTATGGTGCTGTTAGAAACCTTCTTATCCCATGTTCCTCACAGAATGTCAGAAATGCTGTCGAGGTATATTCCCCACCTCGGTTAGAACGCACCGACTTGATGAATTTTCCTGTTGCCTTCTCAATCATTACTTTAAACTTTTTGAATACTTCAAACACCTCGGACTTCTCCTTCAGGAAATAAACCCAAGTTTTTCGTGAGAAATCATCAATGAAAGAAATGAAATATTTCTTACCGTTAAAGGATTCTGGGGTGATTGGACCACACAGATCAGTATGAATCAACTCCAGAGGCTGCTTGGCCCGAAATCTCGCCATCTTCTGAAACGTGGTCCTAGCATGCTTGCTAAGTACACAACTCTCACAAAACTTTCCTTCATAGTTGATGTCAGGAAGTCCGTCAACCATCTTCTTCTTTGCCAGCTCGATTACACCACCATAATGTAGGTGACCAAAGCGGAGGTGCCAAAGTGACGCCTTGTCTTCCACCTCGGCTTGTAAACAATCGACCTGTATACATCTCAAGTTCAGTTTGTACATTCGATTTCTGCCCATTTCAACTCGGACTATCAGCCGACCTCTCTTATCTTTCAAATACAATACTCGGTCCTTCATCATAACCGAGTAACCTTTCTCCATCAATTGACCCATGCTTAAAATATTTCTTTTTAGGTCGGGTACATAGTACACATCTCGGATTGAGCCAATCAACCCGTCCTTTTGCAGGAAGCATACCGTACCACAGCCTTTTACCTCAACCTTCGAGGCATCCCCGAATGAAACATGTCTGGTCTCCACCTTTCTCATCTCCTTGAAGAAATGCTTATGTCCGCACATGTGGTTACTCGCACCCGTGTCAAGATACCACTCCATGTCATCATCTGATTTCCTTTATTGTGTGTCATTAACAAGACACCATCCTTCATCTCCCCTTCTGTGGCTAGGTTGGATGTCTCCTCCGCCCTTTTCTCTTCTCTGCATTCTCTTGCAAAATGTCCGACTTTTCCATAGTTGTAACACTTGTCCGAGTTACAATCTTTCGCAAAGTGACCAAACTTGCAACACTTGTAACAGTCGACGTTGGAATAATATGATCGTCCTCCTCGTCGACCTCTTCCTCTTCCACGCCAGTTCTGTTGACTTGATTGTCCTACCTCATCATTACAACCTTCTTGACTTCGGCCTCGACCTCTACCACTACGGCCAGTGCCTCGTCCACCGCGACCACGTCCTCTACCTCGGAAGTTTTGAGAATAGAGAGTCTTCTCATCTTTAAGTGTTGCTTTGGTCTGAAGTGCTTGTCCAAGAGTCTCCTCCTCCTTCTTCTTCCGTTGCTTATGCGCTTCAAGAGAACCGGCTAGCTCATCAATGGTGAGCGTAGCTAGATCTTTGGATTCTTCTATAGCACATACCACGTTCTCAAAGCTGTCGGTCAAAGATCTCAAGATCTTCTCCACCACTCTGGTGTCCGCTACATCTTCTCCATTTCGTTTCAATTGATTCACAATGGTTTGAACACGAGTAATGAACTCGGATACTCCTTCTGTGTCCTTCATCTTCATTCCCTCCAACTCGGCACGAAGGGTTTGAAGCCGAACTTGCTTAACTCGGTTGGCTCCTCTATAGACATTTGCCAGAATGTCCCACACTTCCTTTGAGGTCTCCACATTCGCTATCTTTTCAAAGCCGGACTCGTCTACAGCTTCGGAAGAGCATGAACAACGCC